CCCCAGCACCAACCCGCCGCGCCGCAGCAGCTGCGAAACAGCAGCAAAGAAGCAGCTACGGGACAGAGAAGCTGGCAGCACTTCGACAGACACGGCGACATCAAAGCCCTCATCTGCTGCTGCTGCTGCTGCTGCTGCTGCTGGCGCTGCTGCTGCTGCTGCTGGGTGGGGGGGCCGATCGCCAGCTGCCTGCTGCTGCAGCCGCCGCAGCTGCTGCTGCACCTGCGGAAGCACCGTGCTGCTGCAGAGGTCCCCCCCCAGCAGCGCCGCACGGCCTGCTGCTACTTGCTGCTGGCAGCGGCGAGCTGCTGCTGCTGCTGCTGCTTTGCTAATGTCTACGCCCACTGCTGCTGCTGCCCCCAGCTGCTGCAGCAGCAGCGACACCCCAGCCCCTTCGTAGCAGCCGCAGTCCAGCACACGACGGCCCCTCACGAGGGCCCCCAAAGAAGCAGCAGCTGCTGCTGCTGCTGCTGCACCAGGCGGGGGCCCTCGGCCTGTTGCTGCTGCTGCTGCTGCTGCTGCTGCTGCTGCTGCTGAGGGTGGGCCCACACTGCAAAGATAAGTGTAGAGCCGCTCACTGGGGCCCATTGCCCACGGGAAGGAAAAGTCAAAAGGAGAAGGGATGCAAGCAGCAGCAGCAGCAGCAGCAGAAGTTGCAGCAGCAGCAGAGGCAGGTAGAGGCCCCTTCGGGAGCTGCTGCTGCTGCTGCCTACGCCGCGAGTTCTTCCCACCGCCAGCACGCTGCAGCAGCAGCTGCTGCTGCTGCTGCAGGTAGCTTTGGGGCAGCAGCTCGGGCACAGGGTCGGCAGGGTCGTACTGAGGGTGCAGCAGCAGCACTCTGGGCACTGCCTGCTGCAGCAACTTGCTGGGCTGCTGCTGCTGCTGCTGCTGCTGCTCCTTCTCTGATGCAGCATCCGCAGCAACAGGGTCGATGAGCCCCGAGTTACACCAGCCTCCAAAGGCGTAGCTGCTGCTACTGCTGCTGCTGCTGCTGCTGAGGAAACCGCGTATCCTCACAGCTGTGGAGAATACCACCCGCTGCGCGATCTGCTGCAGCCTCTGCTGTATAGACAGTTGCTGCTGCTGCTGCTGGTGTTCCTGCTGCTGCTGCTGTTCCTGCTGCCGATGCTGTTGCTGCTCAGACAGCTGCTGAGCAGCTGCAGCTCGCTCCCTAGCAGAAGCAGTGCTTGTAAACTTCGCTTCAAGCCTCTTCAGCAGCAGCAGCTGCTGCTGCTGCTGCAGCTGCTGCTGCTGCAGTCTCTGGGCGAACCGCTGCAGCAGCATGTTGCTGTCTGCTGCTGCTGCTGCCCTGCCGCGCCTTGCTGCTGCCAGCAGCCATCCTGGGTACTAAACCCTAAATTTCAAATCTAAACACATTTTCTTACATGCAAAAGTAATAAAAAAGGAGGGGGGGGCCCGGGGCCCCCTGGGGCCTCTGGGGGGCCCCCTAGGGGCCCCCAGGGGCCTCTGATCACTGGGGTCCCAAGGGCGTTGAATGCTTCCTCCTCTTTGTGCCTCAGCTGCTAAACCCTGAACCGTAAAGCCTAAACCCTATACCCTACGCCCTAGTTCCCAAACCCTAAACCCTGGCTGGGTGTTAGCCGTCGGTGCCGGCTCCCTTTGCGTGAAGTGTCTGTACACCTCAGCACTGCAGCAAAGGCAACGGTGCCCCCTAGAGCTTGGGGGCCCCCTAGACCTTGAGGGGCCCCCCATAGGCTGAGGGGCCCCCAGGGCCCCCTCAGTGCAAGCAGCAGCAGGGGGGCCCCCAGGGGGGCCCCCAGCGCAGCAGCAACTAGACCCCAGTGGGATGAGTGCCCCCGCAGAGGAGGGGCCCCTATGGGGCCCTCTAAAGGAGGGCCCCCAGGGTTCCCCATGGGGGCCCCTCCAGGGGGGCCCCTCAGGGGGCCCCCCTGGGGGCCCCCAGGGGGCCCCCCAAGGGCCCCTGCAAGTGGCAACAGCCTCTTTTATTG